TAAGGTAGGACACATTCAGTCAGTATGCAAAGCTATTGTCCATTTTGCTTCAAGCTGTACTAAATCTTGTAATTTAAATTTCAATAATTCGGATGTTTCTAGTGATCATTTGTCTTTGTCCACTATTTCGAAAGGTAATGCTCATATTCAGAAGCGATTATATACATCGCTTGGTTCATTTCATGACTTTATTCTGGACACAGGCAGTATAGAGTCCATTATTTCATTCAAGAACTTGGAAGCTTTAGATCCTAACGTTGTTGTACGACCCACTGAAGTATCAATACTGGGGATTACTGGACACAGACTGCCGATACGAGGATGTTGTGAATTGCTAATCAGAGATGATAATTCTTCATACATACCTTGTGAATTTTTAGTTAGCGAAACAGGACTGTCAATATTGGGTTTAAAGAATTTGAAAAGGCTTAAGGTGGAGTTGTCCTTCTTAGTTTCTAAAGAAAATTCTGATACTTTACTTAAAGATTTGATAGCTATGTGTGCTAAGTGCAGTGGAGGTGTGAAAATTAAGCCTATAAAACTTCATGTACAGGGTGATCCCGTCTTTCTTAAAAGACGAATAATTCCTTATGGTCTTCGAGAAGCAGTACATAAGACATTAAACGATTTGTGTGTGAAAGGCATAATTGAACCAATTCAGTCTTCAGCATGGGTACTCCTATCGTTACGCCACTGAAGTCGGACGGCAAGACCCCTAGAATTTGCGGTGACTATAGATTAACTCTGAACTCCCGTTTGTTGAAGCAAACGTGCACGACGGTAGAAGCTGAAGATATTCTAAATCGACTTCATGGTTCTAAAGTGTTCTCGAAAGTTGACCTAAAAGATGCTTATCTTCAAATCCCTTTAGATGAATCTTCATCTATTTTGACGACAATTAACATTCCTTTTGGTCTGTTTAAATATAATTTCCTTCCATTTGGTCTAAGTTGTTCTCCAGCCATATTTCAGGAAGTTATGAATAAAGTAGTTAGTGATCTTGAAGGTGTTGAAGTTTATCAAGATGATCTCATTGTTCATGGCTCTAATAAGGTAGTTCATGACCAGAGACTTATTGCTTTATTGCGTCGTTTAATTGAGAAGAATATGACAGTGAATCCAAATAAGTGTTCATTTTGTGTATCTAGTTTTGAATGCCTTGGATACCTAGTTGATGGTAATGGTTTTAGACCAGATATGAAACGACTAGCTCCACTGACTAATGCACCGTCTCCGAAAAATCTTACAGAATTACGTTCACTAGTGGGTGCTCTTCAATACTATTCCCGTTTTATTCCTAATTTTTCTTGTCGTGCGAATTGTTTATTTTGTAGCGTGGCGTCGAGTTGAGGTTAACTATGAACACCGCTACAAAGAAACACGTGCCAAGCGAATCAGAAGGCGAGGGTTGGACGTAACCAAATAGATCCATAAAATCCCCGAGAAGCCAAATATCAGAAGACAGTTAATGGACCAAGTCGAGGTTTATTAGCTGGCGATCTCGTGGCATCGAAAGGATACCGAGATCGTGCCAGGATACAACCTTGGTTACAGAAGGTAACCGAATTCGCGCGAAGTTACAATCGAAGTGTAAGTAAAAGAATGGAAGCACGAAATAGCTGTCATTAGCACAGTCAAACAAAAGCACGTTAAAACAAACACTGGTACAGTTGGTTATAATAATAATTGTTTTTATTAAACCAGTCGTGTTCTCGTGATAAACGTGAGTCACTACAATTTAATATTTTAACATCCAATTCATTCAAATGGAGTGAGGAACAAGAGTCATGCTTACGAAGTCTGCTGAAGTTTCTTCAAAGTGATGCTGTTCTTCGAACGTACTCCCCTAATGTACATTCTGTGCTTATTACTGATGCATCACCTGTGGGAATTGGTGCAGTTTTGGAACAGGAAGGTAGACCAGTTATTTGTGTTTCACGCAAACTTACTGTTACTGAACAAGGTTATTCACAGACTCAGCGAGAAGCATTAGCTGTGTTTTGGGCTGTTAAAAGACTTCATAAATATTTATTCGGAAAGAAATTCACTATTGTTACTGATCATGAAGCTTTAAAGTTTATTTATCATCCCGAAAAATCCTTAGCAAGTTCCTCAGCAGCTATGGTTCAGCGATGGAGTATTGCTTTGAGTGCATATGACTATACGGTTCAGCACAGAAGTGCCAAACAGATTCAACATGTTGATTACATTTCTCGACAGTCATTACAAGATAAACCTATTAATACTTCGGATTGTTTGTTAGTGCAACCTTTACCAGTGAGACGTTCAGATCTCATTAGAGAAACTCGTAGATATTTTGGATGTATACTCAGTGCTATAAGGAAAGGTTGAAATGCTAATTTGAAACGGAGATTTCCTATCTATTTTTCAAAGCGGGATGAGTTATCTACTACTCCTGATGGTATTCTGTGTTTAAATGATCGTGTTGTCATTCCTCCTTCATTGCGTAAATCTGTTCTTGAGGATCTTCATAGTAGTCATTTAGGTGTTGAGAAAATGAAGTCCTTGGCAAGGCTCACATGCTGGTGGCCAGAGATAAATGCAGATATATGTCGTACGGCAAACAATTGTGAGAAATGTCATCAGTTGAAAAATCATCCTTCGAAGTGGGTGCCATGGTCAGTATCGTCTGAGGCCCGGCAGAGAATTCATGCTGACTATTGTGGACCATTTCTTGGTAAATACTACGCACTAGTAGTCATTGATTCTTTTTCAAAGTGGCCTGAAGTTTTTTTCACAACTTCACCAAATTCTGATTTCACAATACAAGCATTAAGAAAGGTGTTTAGTCGAGGTGTTCTCTTGGTGTTGGTGACTGATAATGGCTCACATTTTGCTGCAGATGCAGTCACTACCTGGTTGAACGGTATAGGGTGCAAACATCTATTTACTGCTCCCAGACATCCGTGTTCTAATGGTCAGGCAGAGAATTTTGTTAGGACATTAAAGACTGCTATTGATTCTATAGCCCCCTCAACATTTAATGAGCTGGAGAGAGGAGTAGATACCTTTCTATTGCAATATAGAAATGCCAAACATTCGGTGACGAAGGAGACTCCAGCGAAGCTATTGAAAGGAAGAATTCTTCGGTCGAATATGAGATGTCTGGAGTCTGCAGAAGTTACATACTATCGAGGAAATGATCTTCGACCATCTACGGGTATTGTTCTGAAGAATGTCGGAAAATCGATGGTGCGAATTCTAGACATCGATGACTTAAGTACACACAGTCGACATGTAGATCAAATACAATTTCAGGAACCAGGTGAGTCAGTTCCAATTTCGATTGTTAATTCTAATGCTAATGAGCATATTCTAGATAATACAGAATCCTTATCCAATACAATGTCAGACAGACTCAGGATGAATTTGAGAAGAAGACGTACGATTGATTACAAACACCTAGACTCCAATTTAAGCTGTGGCGGATGTGGTGTTTGAATGAACCAATGATACCTTTGTACTGGTTGAATGTTTGATTTCGAATTCTAAATACAGTACATTTGTTGTGCCTGTGTCTTCTTAATTCAATTGCGTTAATCCTGGAATTCCTAATTCATACGACAATTAGAATACTATACTATCCTTTAAATTTTCGCGGGTCGATCTACCAGGAGGTTCACCTATCAACGTAGAATGTGCAGATGGTGTAGACTGATTTAGTGAGGACGCTGAAAAATTGTAGTTTTTCGAACGAGCATAATTGCAATACGGTCCTCTCCTAAACGCGAAATGTTGTTTCGGGATTGGTATGTGTCAACGCCTTAACTACTGATAAGTAGTGAAGTTGTTTAGTGCGTTGACCTCTTCACTTATCTTGAAAATCGTACAAGCCGGGATTACTGTCTGAAGAAATCTCGACACGGGTTATAAGATTTCGGTTGGCGTATGCATTGCCCAGTAGTTTGCCTTGATTACTTCATGGCTACGAAACGAAAAGTTTGAAAGTAAATATGTGTAGGCTGTAAATTTTTGAACACAACTATCCTCTAAACATTGTTCGTGTTTTCTGGAACGACAGTAAGTAATGTTGAGGTTAGTTATAGGGCACTCGGAAAATCGATTGGTGAGGTTGTAAACCTTCATCAACCGAGAAGGTTAAGGCATGTGTCAGGTAAGACTTACCACCACCTTGTATGACGAACGATGTTGATTCATGTCTCAAATATCCATATTCGGTTACTTCCTCAAGGAAATAAAACAGTTCTGCAGAATTTACTTTAGTATGTTATTGTAGAATGGTCCACCAGGGTGCTTGGTACCTGTGTGGTTGCGCCATAGGATTGAGCTGTACTGTTCGGGTTGTCACGCGAAAGTCCGGATGGTGTCTGGTTCTCCTGAAAACCAATGTAAAATTACCCTGGCCCACAAGGGTATATTATATAGCCAACTGTGAATAGCATTGTAAACACCCACCAAGAAGAGTGAACACTCTATACCGTGACGTAAAATGGTGGCAACGATGGAGATAAGTTGAAAGAAGGGCAATAATGGTGTCCCTATGAAATGTCATCAGTGCACGTAGTGATGTTATGTTGGAAACAGATACTATGGTACGCCAGACAGCTGTATGGCGTTCCAAGATATAATGTCAGAAGAGTAGACTTAGGTATCGAAATCATGATTCAGCTAAACTTCGTGAACTGATCTTAATTTACTAAATAAAAGCTATGGAATCAACCTGTCGAGAAACAAAGTTATTTAGTTCACAGTGATGTAGGGACGCTTAAACCACTGAGCCACATATTCCAACTTATAATACCTTCTGTATATACAGGGAAGTATCATTACCCCTCTTCAATAAATAATAGAGGGGAACGCCTGAAGGAGAAAACTTAATTTTTAAAACAAACTACTTCATAATGCCCAGGATACACAATAAGTGAATGGTATGAGATATTATTGAAGGAAATACCATAATACAAACGAGGACAATATTAAGACCGCTCACAAATGGGTAAAATCAGAAAGATAAACGTCAATATACAAAACGGCTTTTATATTTTCTCTTTCAAGATATTAGGAACGTGGCAGTAAGAAAACAAGAAATTACTTATTAAAATTCATCAGCATAATTGACATACATAATAAAATTTCAATCCTCACAATTAGATGATAATAGAAAGTAATAGTAGTACAAATTGTTAGGAAAATTTCCAAGTCTACAAACTGAAGATACAGAAAACAATATGTATCCGTTCATTCCGAAATGAATAGTAACCAGTTTCAATGATGGGCAAAATCAGACACGCATATGATCCCACCAACTTTTAGTCCATTGAGAATAGAAAAACTTCCAGAGAACAAGAACTTACAAAAGTTTGAATATCAAATAGACATAATCATTACCACTGTAACAATAACACCAACAGATATAATCACCACATAAATGTCCACTAAGATGACATTGTTAACACCTTATTTACAAGGTAACTGAAATATACGCAGAGATAAACCTATTTGATTCCCAAAAATTGTTAGTAAGAAATATAAACTAGTAGACCTGGATGAAAAGTTAAATATCTGGACAACAATAGGAACACTTTTTAAAGCTGTGTAGGTATCAAGACAACGTTAACTACCATTAAATGTATCATCTAGATGCAAAAACAATATATCTCAGTGAAAAGTAAGTAGTAACAATCTCGAAAAAATTCTAGAAGATAAAAAAAAACGTAATATAACAAATAACCTGGCAACGTATGTTCTCTTAATGAATAAGCCGATGCACTGTGGAAGTTTACACTGGACATTCTGAAACATCCTTTTACTTGTGTACACATTCAAGAAATGGAAATTCAAAGCAATGGTGATATGAGAAAGACACATTTAAAACAGAAATGTGCATAATTATGATAACAGTAGTGTGATTATCTGTTATATTCACGTAAGTACATACATACATGTTCTTTGAAACATTTCGTTATAAAGACTAAATTATGGTAAGCAATACATGGACAGCTTTCTTATTATTATATCTAGAGAAATATAATTGCCTAAGATTTTAAAAAAAATGTACTACATGATTTCTTGAAAATAAGTATGTGAAAAAACAAATGGTAAGGAATTTCATTCTTAATCATATGAAAAATGTGCGTAAAAGAACCATAGACGTATTTACATACATAAATATAGATATGTGTTATTGACGTGTGAAATTAGATTAAATAATCATTGAACGGTAACAATGCACATTAAATTTCACAGTTGTAGCGGTAACTTCGTTTTCTTATCAAGATTGTAGAAGAGAAAACAAGTAATTTCAAAAAGAAAATACACAGTTTTAAAGCAAGTAAACAATTTTGACAGTTTTGAATAGAGAGAGTGTAGTGAAAATATGATATAAAACCAATAAAAGAAGTGACGATGGACACCAAATTTACACTTGAATATTTAAGAAAGGTTAGAACTATTAGTATTATATGCAGTATTAGCAGTGGCTAAAGCTAGGTCTCCATGTCTGTACTCTTACACTCACGAGACAATTTGGGGGGTTCGCACTCTTCACCATAATTATTAGTAGTTGTAGGATTGTAGTTAGATGAATCCCAGTGTCGTTTACGTGGTGGTAAATTCAATTGGTGACTGTAATCTATGTAATTAGGATGAAGAATTTTATGATTATGATTGTGGTGGTTGTGACGTTGAAAAAGGGGATCTGGATTATTCTCGTACTGACAACTATATGAAGAATCTGACATACTGTAAACATTTCTGTTTTTATTAGTTTTAGTAACAGTAGGACAATTACTCACCGAAATACATGGTGTTTCACGAGAGAACTCATCAAGAATTAAATCTTGGAGAGAAGCATGCATTGATTTGGTATGAGAACGATAATTTGATTGAATAAGTGACATATCATAATCGGTTCTACATGTAATAAATGAACGATTCAGTTCGGGGAGTAATGAAGGATTATTATTACTATTACAATACTTATGTTTGTTGAAATCGGTGGGAGATTTAGCGGATGATAATGCACCATCTACATAAACATCCGAATGAATGTGCATAGGGAGTAAAGGTGGTGGAGGAGGTATATTCATGTGTTTATCAATTCTATGATTAGTGCCGTTATTAGTGGTATTATTAGTGTTGTTATGATTATTACTATTATCAGTAATAACTTTATGATCGCGATCTGCCTTATTATTGGTAGTGTGAACTGAAACGGCAGAATGGTTACTTGTATTCACAGTTTTTATTAATACCGGTGCAAATTTATGAACATCAGTATTATTACGCAAAACTGAAGGTGCACCGTTTGATGTTCTAAGCTTGATATTTGAAGATTTTATAGGATTCAGTGAATGCTGTTGATTCATTTCATGAGCGGATACTAAGTTATCTGAAGTGGCAATTGAAGGGATTCCGAATTTATTGCAGTTTAGTGTATTATGAGAAACTTTAGTTAACGATGGTGGTGGTGGTATCACTACTGAGTTCAGCGAAATAGCATTTCGATAATTTGATTCAGAAGAAGTGGAAGATGGTAACATATTGTCAGAATTATAATGAAATCCATTTTTATTTATTTCAGTTACTTTAACATCGTTTCCAGAGCAGATTAACTTATTCAATGTAGGATGTTGATTTTGAAATGAATTATCTGATTTAATCGCTGTTGCAGTGGCTAAAAGACGTGCAGCCTCAATATGGTGACGTCTCACTAATTCTTGATTGGCAGATGATAGTAGTGATATCTGGAAAGAGAAAGAAAACAACAAAGAAAAAAAGAACATGAAAAGGCACGAAAAGGAAATTTTATAGAAATATACTTAGCAAGAAAGTGTTTGGATGAAGAGTTTTCTTTTTAGTGAATCCATTCTTGAAGCTTTACAATCTCAAATATATACTTTTTTGCAAAAATGGTAGTCAGTATATTTCTTCAATAATAATCTAATAAGATAGTAATAAAGAAGCAAAATAACAAAAGCATAAAAATTTCATCCTTATTAAGAAACTGATGATGCAATTGTTCAGAGCAAGAATATATTCACGAAAATAAATAAAGAATAATAGTTATGGAAAAGGCTGAATACATTTAAAAGACAAAATGTTGAAAGTGAATCTAGTCAGAAAGGATATGGAAACTGAAATAAATTGGTTAGGGGTAAGACGTGAAGAGCCTGACATGGATGTACGCCACCATGATTTATAACACACCAACATTAGATGGAACAAACAAAACGGATATTAAAGAAATCGAAATAATTATACTATCAATCACAATGAGGAATATTGAACAACGAGAATACAGTTCGGAAAGACAAAATGAAAAGGCACATATGAAGGGATATGCCAAACTACGTCTACATTTATTAAATATAGATGTTTATGACAGGAAATATTGGCACAAATGTCTATGAGCTCAAGTTGTCACAATTTATATCGGAAAAATAAATAAATAAATAAAAATCGGTAGAGCTAGAAACTGCGCATAAGAAATATAAAACAGTTCAATTTAAATTGCATGTAATGAGAAAACCAACCAAGCTTATTCAACCTGTATTATAGTGGCCTAAAACAATTTGAACAACAACAATCCTATATTATCTTGTTAAGATAATTATCTGAGATAAAAAGGTCAATCAAAACAATCGAAAATATAAGAAAAAAGACCCGAAAATAATGATACTGAAGTATTTAGTGATGACAGTTGACGACATGATAGATTATAAACATTGTTTTATTATGACTGTATTCTATAACTGGTTGAGTTTAACCTGAGATTTCATTCATAACAAGTATGTCACCATCTGGTGAAGAACAATTAATTGTGCATTCAAAAAAGACTATAATATGGTTCATAAGTTTTCTTCCTGTAGCCTGTAATTGTCTCAACCAGATGGTACCACCCAAAACATGAAGTTAGTCGATGACTAATAAGCTGGGCAAGTCAAGCATATAACATGCCTATGCGCAGATGCTAATTGGAGGCCAAATGCTGGGTAAGATATGTCGATGGATCCAAGCTATCGGTCAACTATCCAGTGGACACATGCGTGCATGAGCTTGTGTACAATCTTCAATTCAAGTGAGCCAGCAAAGGTTTTCATCCATCCCCTGTCTTTCCAAACAAGTACTAGGTTGAGCTCAAACATAACGATTGTACATATCGTGAAGCACAAGAATTAAATTAAATTTGTGTTTGCACGAGTCAGAGCAGAAGCATCTGTAGATGTTAGCTTTCGTGGGACAGAGTAAACACAGTATTAAAAGTAATCTGAGCTATGGGATAATTTCAGAAATAGAACCATCTGAAATTAAGCACACCTCAAGCATTAGAAACTAGGAAAAGACAGTTGTATAGTGATCTATGATTTTCAACAGCTCTCCAGTTAGTGTTGAATAATGACTTCAGGCTAAACAATCTTCAGAAACCTACCTTATGAAACCAGGTATTTACTATTGGCTCATTACTTATTAAGAAAATATGGTGTGATAACATCCATGGGATAAAGTACTCTACGAACTTTGAAGATTACTTCTTATCGAATGCCGATTTCGTACATTATTCGTACGTTACTATAATAAACGGATTATATCCGATGATTAATTATGAAATAAACAGGGATATTTTGGTTGAATGTTGTATCTGAACACTAACACTCTGATCAATAGAATTCGATTGGCGCTAAAAAGTAAACAAACGTGGGACTGATGACTACTGTGATCAATCAATTTAAATATTAACATCGTTCAAAGCTTTTGGATCTTGTTCTATATAATATGGTAAGTATGGAATGTTGAAGAGCTTGAAATGAAGATAAAGTAACAATTAAGCGCATTTTGTTTTTAAAAAGAATTTACCGATGATTTCAGTCTTATGATAACCAAAAGAAGTTTAGTTAGTTAATTGTTGTCACACCTGAGTTATAGACTAAAGTGCAATGAACATCTCGTTTTAACTGGGTTTCTTTTTCTAAGTGAGGTGGAGTTTGAAAGATGCACATTCCCCTTATGAAATCAGATGTGGCAGGATATGAAAACTTTAATTGACCTAAATACCATTACTTCAATCTCATAGATACCATAAAAAATTAACTGAACTTCGTTCTGAAGGCCTCCTTGTTAAGTCTGCATTTTAATTGTACTACAATTATTACGAGTGCATGGAGGACAGCAGGCAGATACATTCAGAGTGAGGACCGGTATCCGACAAGGCTGTCTACTCTCCCCCTTCCTTTTTCTTCTAGTAGTCGATTGGATTATGAAAACCTCCACATCTGAGGGGAAGCACGGAATACAATGGACAGCTCAGAGTCAATTATATGACTTGGACTTCTCAGATGACCTGGCTCTTCTATCCCGTACACACGAACAAATGCAGATGAATACAACTGGTGTAGCAGCAGCCTTTGCATCGGTAGGCATCAACATACACAAAGGAAAAAGCGTGATCCTCAAATACAACAAGGAGGACACCAAACCCATCACACTTGATGGAGAAACTCTGGAAGGTGTGGAATATTTCACGTACCTGGGATGCATCATAGACGAACAAGGAGGATCGGATGTATACGTAAAGGCGAGGATTGGCAAAGTAAGGGCCGCATTCCTACAATTGAAGAACATATGGAACTCAAAACAACTGTTAACCAACATCAAAGTCAGAATCTTCAATACGAACGTCAAAACAGTTCCACTGTATGAAACTGAAACTTGGAGAACTACCACAACCATCATCGAAAATGCACTAGTATTTCTAAACAACAGTCTACACAAAATACTCAACATGCGTTGACCGAATACCACCAGCAAGAGCCTACTGTGGGAGAGAACAAACCAGCTTCCAACTGAAGAGGAAATTAAAAAAAGACATACATTACGGAAATCACCAAACTGCCCGACCGAAGCTGCTACCTTGACGCGGTGGTCGGGCTTGCCTATCGTGATGACCCAACCGAGCTATATTGGCTGGAACATACGTTCCTGTAGGTTCTACCGTGCCAGGCAGGTCGATTGGTGAACGGTAAGACTAAAAGCAGCAACTAAAGGTCTGAGGGCGAAGTCGTACTGCTGACTGTAGAGAGGTGTGACAGCAGTAAGGTGTTTCCCTCGGACAACCAGCATGACAGTGATGCTGCCTTCCCACAAGGAGGAGTGGGGTTAGAAAAGGTCGACCCTAAAAATGTCACACCTCACCTTATCTCACGGATTTCTGTCTCCGGCGGTAACGCCCTTTGACGAACGGAGCTAACACGTCAACAACCTTCCACAAAAAAGCCGTGCGCGACCGACCTCAAGCAGTTGTCCCTTGGGCTCTGCGGTCACGCTCCCAGGTCGTTAAGACCAACACTAATCCAATTTCCTTTTCAGGTTCCTCAAGAAATACCCTTCCACGTTGTGGGCAGCCGGGAAGTGACATCAGCCCTCATACCCGTAACAGCACACGAGACCAAGTTGGTCACATTCAAATCCTTCCTACACCTCCTAATACCTCTCTTATCTCCATGACTAACCCTCCTCACGTCTCTTTATCACCTCGCACCGCTAGGGCAAACGTTTCGAGTACATGGAACGCTATTCTTGGTCTCCTGAAACCACGCTCGAAACTACACGTAGGAGCTTTTAACGTACGAACACTGTGCCAAATAGGACAGCAGGCTTCCTTAGCTAGGAATTTAGAATCTCGCGCCATCGATGTGTGCTGCGTCTCCGAAACGCGCATACAGGATCCAAGTAGCGTCATTCATTTGACCTCACCATGCCAAAATAAAGAACCGACTCGATTTACGCTTCGTGTATCTAGAAGCCCTGATTCTGCTTCCTGTGGCCTCGCCGGCGTAGGTATAGCATTGAGTCGTTTTGGTTTGGCCGCCCCTAGCTTTCTTCCAACCTACTCCTACACCATAAAACATCGCACGTCGGGGCAGTCGGTCGTTGGGCATACGTAACACGTGTCCCAGCCATCTCAACTGATGAAGTTTCACTACTTCATCAATTGATTTGCCATCCTTACCTAGTACCCGTTTCCTAACAACTGTGTTACTTACTCGATGGTCCCATGATATACGAGCAATGTTTCGAAGACACCCATGATCAAATACTAGTAGCCTACGGATATCCTCTACTCTTACCGGCCATGTTTCACTGCCATAAAGTAGGACGGAACGAACTGCTGCGCAGTAAACACGTTCTTTGGTTGATAGACGGATATCTCGCCTACGCCATAAATGACGCAAGTTGGCAAAAGCTAGTCGAGCCTTCTGTATCCGTGCTGAGATTTCGTCACACACCAAACCACAAGGGCTGATGAGACTTCCAAGATAAGTGAAGCGGTCGACACACTCAACTAATTCACTCCCTATCACTAGTTCGGGTGTCGATGTAACCCAATCCTGAAGCAACATTTTGCATTTCGAGGGAGAGAATCGCATCCCGAACATGCTTGCATTGTTGCTTAGAGTGGTCAGAAGACTCTGCATTTTGTCAGCGTCTTCACCAAATAAAACTATGTCATCTGCATATTCTAAGTCAACACGAAGGCGCCAAAGATGGCCCAGATTGGCATAAGCCGATCTGGCTTTCACTATACGTACATTGATCTCATCACTCACGCCACCACCAGCACTTATGCAGCTACCTAGATACACGAACTTCTCGACTATTTCTATCTGCTCACCATCCAGGGTGAGTACAGGATTAGAATCCTGCCAGTCTTGTAGAAGTACTTTGCACTAAGAAGATGCAAAGCACA